AATATATATATATATATATATATATATATTTGTTATAGTTTTTTAATATTTACCGGTCCGGTCCGGTCCGTTAAACCGGCAGTTTGCCGTAGGTAATCCGTTAACCGGGCCAGTTATTCCGGATTTTTTTAAAAAAATAACCAGCGTATCTTTTAAGGTTTTTCAACCGCCCATTTAACCGATTCGCGGTCCGGATTGACTGTTTTTCGGTTAAAACCGACCGTGAACACCCCTACTTTGGGGATTGAAAGTGGAGTCGGACTGTTGGAGGCGGACCACACGACGTCGAGGAGGCGGCGGCGAGGCGTCAGAGGCGTTGTCCTAATTGCGGGGCATCGAAGCGACTAGGCGAGGCGAGACGCGGAGCCGTTGTGTTCGAAGTGAGGCGTGCCAGGGCGTTGAGCCGAAGAGCCTTTGTGTTAGAGGTGAGGTGAAACAGTTTCGTAGTGAGTTTGTGTCGCAGATGCAGGCGACAGGCTGAGGTGTCTTGGAGAAGTGAAGAGAATGGAGATGTGTTGTGAAGGCAGAGATAATGTGTACTGTGAAAAATGTTGTATTAAAAATTCTTATATAAAACACCTCCGACAATATTTTATAGTAGGGTTAATTGCATATAAAACCACCACCTTTTGTTTAATTGCAAATAAAACTCAATCTTTTCAATTTGGCAAAAAAATACCTAACTTTTATTAAGTGTTGCAATTTTGTCTCGTCCGCCGGACCGCCGCCGCCAACCACCACCCGTCGCCGTCAACTTTGCCGGATATTGAAAATTTTTATATGATCTTGTAGCTATCTTCCGTGCCGAAAACATATCCGTTTCACGAAAAAATTTCGATGATAAGACGTCCAATTTTCCGGTCAAAGGTCGTAGATCTAAATTTTTACGACCTTTGACCGAAAAATTGGACGTCTTGTCGTCAAAATTTTTTCGTGAAACTCGGATATGTTGTTGGCACAGTTGGCGGCGGCGGGTGGCGGGTGGCGGTTGGCGGCGGCGGTCCGGCGGACGAGACAAAATTGCAACACTTAATAAAAGTTAGGTATTTTTTTGCCAAATTGAAAAGGTTGAGTTTTATTTGTAATTAAACAAATAGTGGTGGTTTTTTATGCAATAATAGAAAATAAATAAAAAAAATAAAAAAGGAAACTGCTGGGATTTGCTCCGACCCATGTGAACCTCATTCTCGATTTGACAAAGTGATTATTATTTGACGGTGTAAAACGAAAACATGCTAATTTTTTTCTCTTTCTTTCTTGTCAATTTTTCGTGTCCCCAGTTATTTGGCGTTGATTTCATTATTTTCATCCCAAAATCACTCAAATTCGTGAACTACATACATATTTCGTAACTCATTCTTAACGTCCTACCCTAACTCCTCTATATCATCATCATATTCAACTGTTTCCAGGAAGTCAATTCGCCTCTCCACTGAACAAGGAAACAAAAGAAAAAGGAAAGGAAAAGAAAGAGTAGAATTCCTGATTGTTTGTAGCTGATTCATGTTTTCTACTAGTAATCGTGTTGTTGGGTGCTCATAATTTAATGGTTTTGCACTTGGCTTCCGATACATCGCTCCTTCGCTGTGGTTTTTTGTCACACAGGAAACACTTTTTCATTGCCATCTGCCCTTGTGCTGCTCCTAATTACAGAAACAAGAGTAAAGGTATAGCAGCTAAAAATGTGAGATGGGCTCCAAAGACTCAAGCTTGCTCTAATGGCGGAAGTGGAAATCCATTCAATTATGCCACCAAAAGGATAGTATTAAAGAGATGTTCAGAGGAGGAGGAGGATTACGATTCCACTTGTTTGACCGACAATGGTGAGACTGAGAGGGGCAGCTATTATAGCAGCACCAATTTTGGGGAAGAAGACCCTATTGTGGATAAGCTGAGGAATCAGCTTGGGGTCATCCATCCTATTCCCTCTCCACCTCCTATAAACCGCAATGTTTTCGGCCTCTTTGCTTTCTTCTTTTTTGTTGGTGTCGTTTTCGATAAGCTGTGGACGTCAAGAAAGAGGAATGGTGGGAGAAGTATGGGAGAGCAAGTGCCGAGTAGCCTGTCTTCACTTCTCGAGAAGGATTTGCAGAGGAAAGAGTCTGTAGAGTGGGTGAACATGGTGTTGGGGAAGCTGTGGAAGGTGTATAGGGGTGGGATTGAGAATTGGATCATTGGGCTTTTGCAACCTGTGATTGACAATCTCAAGAAGCCAGATTATGTGGAGAGGGTTGTGATCAAGCAATTCTCCTTGGGCGATGAGCCTTTGGCTGTTAGAAGTGTCGATCGCAGAACATCTCGTCGCGTTAATGACTTGCAGTAAGTACAACCCAAGCAAGAAGCCATGACTGGTTTTTGTGCTTTACATCGATGATTTTGCAAAGGCCAGATTTTTTTATGCATTTCTAATTTGTGTATTGTATTGAAGTTCTGTGTGAGTTGATAATTGTTTCCTTCTTACCAAGATATCAGATAGGCCTGCGTTATACTGGTGGGGCTCGGATGCTTCTACTTTTATCCCTTAAATTTGGCATCTTTCCCATAGCTGTGCCAGTGGGTGTCCGGGATTTTGACATTGACGGGGAATTATGGGTCAAACTGAGACTCATACCAACCGAGCCATGGGTAGGAGCTGCTTCCTGGGCTTTTGTTTCTCTTCCAAAGATAAAGTTTGAGCTCTCGCCGTTTCGCTTATTCAATTTAATGGGTATGCTGTTACTCTTGCTTTTTTTGTAATGATCTAGGCTCCTTTACCTGAATTAGGAGTAGTATGACACCATTTGGAATCAGGCTCTAACTACAAATACTTTTGCAAATTTTAGATAAGCATGATTGACAAGGAGGAATGATATATCAGTCTTTGATTGCTATGCATAGACATTGAATTTTAAAACTGATTTCTTAATCAAGGGAAGCATGACATGCATGGCTAGTAAAGTTTGTCCCTTGTTTCTTGCTTTGATGTTTAACGAGGATGGATGTTTACATCATTCATTCTTCTACATGTCAAATGATTTTTTGCTGTAATTCATCTATATTGATGGTATCAGTAAATTTAACATAGTAGTTGAGCCATACTAATTTTTGTTTCTTCTTTTGTCCCCTTTTTTATGTACGGGAAATGTCCAGCAATACCGGTCCTCTCCATGTAAGTGATTTTCCTCATGATATTAGCTTATCCTGCTATGCTCTATTTAAATCTCTGTTTATTATTATTATTTTTCATCCATATGCTTTGATTTTTTTTTTATTTATTTATTTATTATTATTTTTTTTTAAGTTAGATGATTTCCATTTGATGTTATACAACCAGAGGCAACTGATTCTTGACACGTTCAATTTCATTATTTGGTACCCATTTATATGCTTTTGGGCCCCTTGACCATATATATGGATCTAGTGTCTGGTCGAGAAGGATTAACTTCTCTTTTTTTGTTGTTCTTTTTACCCCTGAGAGGCTTGCTGAGTAGGTCATACGTTGGCATATTACAGCAGGTCTGAATTAATGTTCTTCAGTTCCTGTCCTATATATGGAAAGACTTATGAAATTCTTCTTTAATGGCCAATTAATTAATTTAGATGGCTTAAGATATTGTTGCTGCATTTAGTTCACAATGTAAATCCTCAATAGATATGTCAAATACATGTGTCACTCTTCTTCTTCTACAATCATACTGTTTACTAGATCACCCGTATCTCGGATGCTGTACTTTTCTGCTAAGTGTTTTCGCCATTCATTTTTTATCAATTGTTTGTTCTGGGATGACTGAGCTAAATGCTTCTGCTTGCAGGTTTCTTACAAAGCTTCTAACAGAGGATTTACCTAAGCTATTTGTGCGTCCAAAAAAGATAGTTCTGGATTTTCAGAAAGGAAAAGCTGTAGGACCTGTTCCGTATGATACCAAATCTGCAGAAAATCAAGAGGGAAACAATGAATTTGCTGGAGAATTGTCTGTGACTCTTCTAGATGCACGAAAACTCAGTTATATATTCTACGGTAAAATAACTACTTTTTATTTGGCGAAAGAACTGAGTTGTCAATTTGGCATTAATGCAATCAGCTTATGAGAATAACTACTATTCATATTAAATAATCTCTTCTTGCATAGTACTATGACACTTTTGCTATCCCGTGACATTTCAGGCAAAACTGATCCGTATGTTATTCTAAAATTGGGAAATCAAGTAATACGTAGCAAAAGAAATAGCCAAACCACAGTCATCGGACCTCCTGGCGAGCCAATCTGGAATCAGGTGAGCAAAGCTCCAACTAAAAAGATGAATGATTTTGCATTATTTAATGGGCCTCCTATGGGTAGGTTCATTACTTCAACTAGCCCCATGGTTCTCAAATTGATCTCTTAATTCCTTATGTGTTTGCAATTGTGGTGCAGATTATTATTATTACTAGTACATACCCCGTGCGATGCACGGGACAAAGATATTAAATGAGTTATTTTCACAGTCTTGTCCGTTTAAGTCTAAAAAGTAATAATGTTATTATCTATTTTCTACCTCTTTTATTCAACGTTAAGTCTAAAAAATTATTAAACCGCCCTGTGACAAATATGTATGGAGTTATGTGTTCGTGTCTCATAAGTCACAAAGATTATGAATAACATTACAAATTATTCATTCAAACTTTTATTCATAGCAGATATATTAAAATAGTTTATATAACAGCCATTAAATACAACTTTCAATATATTTATAAATAAAAACTACATAAAATTTCTGGTGTGTTCAAATTTAAATAATTTTTTGTGGGCTCATATTAAAACCATCCAGACATTGGGTCAAACGCATAGGTGTGTTCAAATTTAATCATTGACATTTTTGTCGGTTGAAATTTAAATCATCTACCATGGTACTGTGATGTGTATTATATATATTATACAATTTTTTAACAAATAATATGTGTTTTATAAAAATAATAATAATAATTTCCCAATATTTTAAACGTAAAATTTGGTTTTTAATTACAATAGAAAAATCATGGTAGGTTGTATTGAAAAGATGTTTTGAGATAAAACAATTAACTAAAATAGTTAAATAAAATACTTGATGGAAATAGAATGCATTAATTAACTTTGACTTTTCTTACTACTAATTGTAGTAAATAGAATGCATTTTTATATAAGTATAGATATAGATTTTATAAATAAATATAATTATAAATTATTCCTTGCATAATACTATGAGACGCGTTATTTATCTTAGTCCTAAATCTGTTTTTATTTGTGAAAGAGAGAGCGTGATTTA